TAACATATGAACACTATGAAACTTAATTACAAGTAAATCTCAGCCTGAAGCGCTTTACCATGTCGCCGGTCAACGCAATCGATCTAGTAGCGACGATGAGCTTCTATACGGAATTTCTGACAAAACCAAACCTTTATCTAAGAACTTCTGTCAATAGCGCGCGCACTTGCTCTACAACTATTCAAGTTGACGAGGTACTTGTTCGGACTTGGAATCCTTATCCATACCTTTAAGGCGTCCACCAAAGAGTTGGCTTTACTGATCTTCTTCATCGTACTAGGAATCTTGCTTTTTGCCAGTCTCATATTCTACGTTGAACGCTCGCAGGTACATTTCAACTTCTGGTTTCACGAGAGCTAGATATTTTAAGGGCACAGTTCCAAGTGCGGTTTAAACAAAACGATAGAACTTTTACAGAATCTGCTGAAAGCAGTTTTCTGTAAAAAAAAAAACTTTTAAAACCTAGTTTTAGACTTGATTTCAACTCTTCTTTCTGTGTAATTGCATATAAATATATATTAGCTTTAAAGATAAAGTTAAATAAATTTAAGAAAATTTCTGCTTGACTATTGTTGTCTCTGATCTTTGAGAATGAGGATTAAATATATTATTCTCGCAAAATTTGTGTGATATCAAAACTATGTACTTTTCTTGTTGTAACACTGCAGGAAATTTCCAACAACGATTTTGACAGTACACTGCCAGGTTTATGATAGGTTTTAGTTACGATAACCACTGTAGGTTATGGCGACATGACACCGAAAACTTTCCCCGGCATGTTTATCGGCAGACTGTGTGTTCTCGCCAGTGTCTTGACTATCGCTCTTCTAGTTCCGGTATTGTCAGCAACTTTTCCATGTTTTATTCGCACACATAGATACTCGCATTATATTCTCTGTATATATCTATTAATGTACATATAGCTATCCAATTACGATAAAATTGAAATTAATTTTAGATAAAAATTGAAACATGAAAAAATAAAATTTTCAAGCGCACAGTAAGCTATTGAAGCAAAAAAAAGACTAACTTCTATCACTTTTTCCAAGACGAATGAGATGGTCATATCAGAATTATGTTGACACTGCAGTGAATCGCTAACTTCTACCGAGTTTAATTTCTAAATAAATTAATAATGAACTTAACAGCTCCATCAATCACCACTTGATTAAAAGATATATTATGATTACAGGTATTAATCTGATGAGAGAGAGAGAGAGAGAGAGAGAGAGAAAATCATATATTTTTTACACATAAATTATTTCTAAAATAACTTGCAAATATCTTTTCATATTCATGTAATTTACCGTTTCTTATGACCAAGATTTCAATTGAATTAAACAAAGGGAAGCTTCACTTAAAATGGAAATACATCCAATCAATTTGATAGTAAAATGCATCTTCGGGGATTTGAGAACAAAATACCACTTGTATCTGCTTGCATAGCTATTTATAATACTTTTGTGATGATATCATAAAACAATTAAAATATCGATGAAGAAAATAAGAAAATAGGAACGTTTTATTATCTAATTACGATTCGTAGAAGTGATAAATTATTCATTAAATGTGTTAGATGTGAAATAAAAAAATATCTATACAAAATTTGTAATCAAAGAATAATGACAAAACGAAAATCATTTTCTTCCATTTGAAAATAAAGAAAGTCTTGCCAATTATCAATTGCGGATAATTATATATCTGTATCCACATAATTTATTTATTAAACAATTCTTAATTCTTTTATTCTTTAATAACTTAATTTTTTTAAGGCGATTTGAATCAAACTTCGATTAATTTAATCAACACTCTTTTATTATGTAACATGAATAAAATTACTAGATTATAATCCATAGAATATATATTTAATCTATCGAAAAAAGATTAAGAACAACAAACTATCTTAAATATTTTGCCTTAAACGATTTTGCTGAACTTAACTACCGATTAAATTAATTAGAGTTTGGTCGAAGTCGTCCTTAATAAAGAAAATACCAGAAAATAAGTTTATAAACTTCGACACCGAGTTTGAGAAAGTTCAAAGCGGACAAAAGAAGACGACGCCGACGTCTCGAGATTGTATCGAATATGATCGGTATTATCTATCGGGTTATCGAAACGTTATCGAACGTTAATCTTCACTCGCAGCTAATGGGTGAGTGTCAGGGTTGTTCTCACGGTGTAAATTTGGTACATAACTCGGGAGTAAAGCTGCCACTGAAAAGACAACAGCGCGCAAGCGTAAGCCATCGACCGGTGGAGAAATTCGCTTGAGAGTAGCGACGACCCCACTCGAGAGCAACCCACTCAGCACGACCTCGAGCTATATCTTGCAACCCACACGTGAGACATGACGCGTAAACGCGGCACCTCATGTGCATACGTACAAGCATTGTATTCCTACTTCGTACTTAACAAGTACTTACACATCTTTCTACTTCTCCGACAATTTGTCAATATAAATCATCGTGGCAGGTAAACCTGATTTTTCGAAAAGACTGTTATCATTGGTTAGTTAATGGTCGTTTACTATTATTTGTTAAATTAATTCACATAAATTTCAAAGTTGCATAAAGACAGAAAAAAAGAACACATTTTTACGTATACAAGGTTTACGTTTACATTTGAGAATATTAGAGAAAAATGGGAATCTATTTTGATATTAATCTAAAGATCTTTATGACGTAATTTCCTTATTCTGTCGATTTCGTTTACAATGTTGATTTTTCAAGGAAATGATAGTACTTAGATCTGGAATCTTGTTGATTCACTGAATATTCACCCCAAGAATTTATTTGATATAACATAAATGTGATAAATTTAATATATAAAATGCAATAAAACACATAAAATACAAAATGTGTAATTTAAATATTTCTCTGTATATATTTTTTTGAAAGTTTACATACGTCATTGCCATAGAATTGATTATTTCCTCGGATATTTTAAATGAAATCGTAACTCGAAACTTTAAAAAGTAATACAATATTTACAACCGCGGAATATATCAATTACTTTTCACGTTTTATTTAAAAAAAAAACAGTTTTGTGTGGCTCTCTCTCCAAGAATAAATCAAATATAAGTAAATTACTTATGAGCTTTCGCGATTATTAGTGTAAATAATATATAAAGCGATAAGATATAATTCGCAAAAAATTGGAATGTACTGCAAATTAATTACTTTTGTAATTAATTTTGTTAATAAGTACATACTAATTGCTTGCAAATTATATTTTATCGTCATATAAATATATAATTTACGAACACCTGTGGAGGCTCATATAGACAATTTATTTATATTTATTTCATTTTAATATTTTATTTATAAATAAGGATAATAACAATAAAGACATCTGATTTTAATTGTCTCAGTATCGCTTGATTTATGATACAACGATGGGAATAAATGAAGAGAATTGGCAAATATTTTCCGTTATTCTAGAACAGCTTGTACAGAAGGATAAGAAACGAGCGACTTGTTCTTAAGTTAATGAAACGTGTGAGTAATATGTGATCATTTTTATTATAAATTGAAAAGAATCCAAAAAATCAATCAATATGTTCTTACTATCGATAGCTGTAACCTTCCTTTTACACATTTTTATCGTGCGATGTGTAGTAGAAAAGGTAAAAGGGAAGAAAGGGAACAGATGAGAAAAGAAAAGAAGAATAGGAAGCGAAGAGACAGACGTTTTATGAGCTATAAAAAGCGTAGAACGACAGGGGTAATTCCGATCTTTCCCATGGGTTTTAATCATCTCACAGCGAAAAATCGCAATTTTGTAAAAAGTTAATTCAAAAGGGTAGTAGAAAGAGAATATCTATGTAATCGACTTAAGTCTCATCGAATTTGGAATTAAGTAAAACGAGAACTTTGAATCGCACGATTTTAATCGAGCATAAGACCTTGGGAAAACAGACGGTTAATTTCAAATAGACATATTAAATCGACATATTAAATCATATAAGAGGATTGATATAAAAGGATAATCATAAATTTCACAGGCAAACTTTAATAGTATCTGCAATCCAATAATATCGATTTTTTTAAATTTTACATATGGGAGACTTACATCTATACAGCACACATGCCTAATGAATATTTAATGGAATATCTATTGGATACCCAATCTTTTATTCACATTTGCGGATATTAATTAAATATTGACATTTATTACTACTAAAGAAATATTTTGTATAAAGATAAGACAATTTTTCGCACAAGAATACATGGAAATTATTTTAAAAATTCTTTATTTCGTACAAAGTTTTGTTTTCGAAGAAATGTTATTATTCTTCATTGAAGAAATTTTAAATAAGTGAAATATTATACATCAACTATTACATATGTTATCGTAAATTGTATTGTGTTTTTATTTCTTAATTCTGTACTTTGAATTAGTCATTTCATTATCTAATTTTAATTTATCGAACACATGTTTCAAGTAAACTATCGATTTGCATTACCAAATAATGAGAAGAAAAGTTGCAATATCCAAAGAAATAATAGCTATAGTTAAAAAGTCATCAATCGTAACAAGTTTAAGACCACGCAAAACGAATCACGAGTTTTTCATAAAATACTATACATATATAAATAACTTTTACATTATTTTAACATCTCAACACTAACTATGACTCACATCCTGTCCGTGTATTGTGGAATTCACTGTTATAAAATAACAAACCATAAATAGTATTTGAATTTTTTTTTAAATGACCACGATCGAGAAACGCATTCGTCGAATGCGAAATCCGAGAAGACGGCCGGCTTAACAACTCCGAAGGTAACTTTAAGTCATCGCCTCGGTCACCAACTCGGTCGAACTCGAGGGCCACTTGGACGTGGTCTCGTCTCGACATAACGCGTACGAAACGGATGCGCGCGCTCAATCTCCGCACGCCGTCGCCGTCGTGACGCCAGCCCCCACCTTGGCGACGACGTCGCCGCTGCCGTCCTTCGTCGGCAGAGACGACGTCGCTTTTCGTTCGCGATTTCAGTTCTGTACGCGCGACGAGCCGCAGTCGAGCCACCCTCGGAGGTCCTCGTCATATCCGCTTGTCGGTCGGTCACAGGGACGACGCGAACCGGCGACGATGACGAGCCGTCTATGACGGCATCGGGTGACACCACGATGAAGGCCCGACCATTCCGCCGATGATCTATTCGCGAACACGGCGACGGGGAAAACGCCCTCTGCCTTCACGGCGCGTTCCCTGCCTGACCTGACCTTTCGCTGGAGACAGAGAGAGAGAGAGAGAGAGAGAGAGAGAGAGAGAGAGAGAGAGAAAGGGTTGGGGGTGGGAGAGAGTACGAGAGGAGTCGAGCGAGAGGACTCGTGCTCGTGCGAACGCAGGACGTAGCACGCAGGACAACATAGTGCCTATTGTGCGAGACCGTTTGTCAACTACGGTATACCTTCGCGGAACACCATCGCCATCGTCGCAGCTCGGCGACATGGAGAATACGGGGAATCGGAGCAGTGTCGTCGAGATGTCGCGGAAGATCTCCGAGACATGAAGAGAACGCGACCGAGGGTGGGTATTTTGCCAGTTCCAGAGAAGAGGAGACATTTCAGGAGGATCTCGATGTCGAGGGTCGAGGGAAAGGAACCCTTGCGTGTCCAAGTGGAAACGTGTCAATCACGAGGGTATCCCTTTAGGGATGCTTTGAAAGGGGAAGGAAACACGAACACGCGCCAACCTCATGAGTGTTCAGAATGCGTTTAAGCCCTTAGGGACTGAGTCCTTGTGAATTATCTTGTTCAACCTATGCGTTCGATCCTGCAGCGGGTTGCAAATCATTCTCCTGTTCGGCGCGATCGTTCACGTCACTATTGGGCGCTCATTGAACCAGTCGATTCGCCTGACCTACTCCAGTATTTCCAACATTCGTTCAGTCCGACGTCTTCTCATTGATTTCTCGGATCGCCCGTTTCTCTTTCGATCGGCCGCAGCATCGTCAACCGGCACGATCGCGAATTGGATAATTTCACCGAGTGACCGAGTACAACCAAGTCCAGCGAGCGGTACTCGCGAGATCCCGCGTATCTCACTTCCGCGCGTTGTAGAGTATTAACCGAAAGCGAAGCCAAAAACGGAGCCGCGGGTGGTAATGTCGACCAGCGTACAGGGCGCAATATCGGCCTTTCGTGCACGCAGACTATCGATTCTCGCGCGACAAGGGGCTGGCCGACGCCGCCTGACGCCGCCACCGCCACCGTCACCGTCGTTCCTGACGCTAATTTGTAGCTCGGCCATGGACAAACGCTTCGTTAGGCTCGCCTGTGTGCCAAGAAGGGAAAAACACGCCCTCGAGTTCGCCTCACGGTCGATCATCCGAAATGCCGCTCTCGCTCGTGCACGTGCGAAAATACGTACGGATGACGTCACGGGAATGCGCCCCGACCTCGAAGATTCGATCGGATTTCGTCGTTGCTAGACGTTTCCCGCCGCCACCGCCACCGTTACCGCGACCGCCGGTGGTTGGCGATCAGGGTTGATTTAGAATCGCGTCCATGCGCGTTAATTCGAGGACTCAGGCACGTCGACCTCGGCATCTCCTGATAGCGGCATACCGGAGTCCGACGTGTATCTTTGTATCTGGCAGGTGGTTCGCTCGACGTGACGCATCCCGAGCGCGTGATTTGATAATCGGACAGCTCGACTCTCGTCAGGGACAGTCACGAGCCACATTGTTAGCCTTTATAACCGTTACAACTTTGCAACAGTCGGCATACAAAGCGACAGCGGGATTGAAAAACCGATATACCTGTCCCTTTGATTTCACGCGATGCCTTCTTTATACAGTTCTCCTTTTTTTACGCGGTATAAAAGATTACACGGGCAGAATACGGATCACCTCGTCGAGGTTTTTTCAAACTTGGCTATTTCGAATCGGCGCGAAATCTAAACGTACACGAAAAGGAATACGCTGCTTAAATCGAGAAAGGAGGGGGGGATCCTAATATAATTTTAATAATTTCTTTCTCTATAAATAATTCTTCTTTTAATATAGCTTGTTTTTAGTAGCTTCGTCTTATAATTTAAAATATAATTTGTAACTGTTTGCTATTATAAAATCTAAAAATTTTAATTTATTCCAATTGACAATTACTAACTAACGCGTTGTTTTTTTAAATTATGCGCTAGAGAATATAAAAATAACATTTGTTTATCCTCTCAGATTGGATTTAGAAATGAAAACAGTTTTGGTAAATTGAAATATTATCCTTTTATATTACACGTTCGGTGAATTTATCGATGCAGAGGCGTGCATAATTGGTATGCAGATGTATTGATGTCAAGGGAAGGTTACTTAAAAATGTTCTGCCCGAGAAACGCTCTTACGTATAAATAACGTACAAACTTAACAAAAAGTAATTGATCCGGAAATCTGATAAACGCGAACATATTTACATGAGCGAGATGATTACGATACGTGAAATACTTAAATGTTTTAACGTTTTGTAACTTAAAATCTTTTAAATTCTTTTTATAACTCTTTGTGATATTTTAATCTCGTATATTTTAATCGTAACTGCGTAATTTTTTTATGTTCCATAATGGTAGCTTTAACGTGCCGTGTCCCTGACAGGAATTATTTTTCTCACAGTGTTGCATCGTGAACGCGAGATGAAAAAGTTGAATGAATACAGTTTCTCCCAGAGATACGGAACTTAAAGAGCCGAAGCAATCCTAACGCTAGTATTTGTAAAGCATATATTCCTAAACTATATGATATCGATGTATAAGGGACTTTTAATGAAATGTTAAATGTCATAATTATCATGACAGTAATGTTAAATGTCATAATTATCATGACAGTAATAGAGTAGCTCTCGCATTCCGTTTTGCGTCAGTCTTTGAAATGCAGGATTTGAAGCAGCAATGACACCATTGTGACACTTTCCGTCGGCTACGCCGTGTAATCCAAATGAGATTATATGGATGTCAAAGTAACCGGTCAGTAAAACCGGTGTGATATATTACGATAAAATCATTACGCGTAGAATGCTTCGCTTGATCCTTTTAGGTACTATATCCGCACACATGAACGGATATATTTTAACATGATGGAATAAGATCATAAATTGTACGTTTTACATTTCAATTTGAACTGAGCTACACGGTCAGATATTATTGCAATTCGTGTAAAATGTTAATGAACTATTTATATTTCAACAAAGCAGAAACGCGGATAGTTTGCATTTAATAAATAAAACTCTCTTGTACGTTCGCGTTTTTATTTTACAAATTATATTATGTGATCTACACAAGATTTAAATTAAGATCGATCGGTTCAAAGCTAATTTCTGTTCAAATAAGTTAATTTTCAGTTTAGAAGGGTATAAATTGTATCAGCCTTGATTGAGCTTTAGGAAGGTTAATCGGATAAAATCAATATAAGGTCTACGCGATGGGGAAACGACGGTTTTCCATCTAATTTTAGATGACGCGACGGAAGCGCTAATTGTTTGCAGATCGCATGGGTTTCTTTAAGTCGGGGCCGGCGGTAGCAGAGCCGTGATCAAAATGAACTTGATAAACATGGACGCGGAGAACCGCGTGGTTCTGAACGTGGGCGGAATCCGGCACGAGACGTACAAGGCAACCCTGAAGAAGATCCCGGCGACGAGGCTCTCGAGACTGACCGAGGCCCTCGCCAACTATGACCCGATCCTCAATGAGTACTTCTTTGACAGACACCCGGGTGTCTTCGCCCAGGTACTCAACTACTATCGCACCGGGAAGCTGCACTACCCCACGGATGTATGCGGCCCGCTTTTCGAGGAAGAGCTCGATTTCTGGGGTCTTGATTCGAATCAAGTCGAGCCTTGCTGTTGGATGACCTACACGCAGGTATATCGTGTATAATGTCTGACTGTCGTGCACGTGCCTAATCACGTCTAAGCGTGGCCGCACGCAAAATCAGCGAAACAGACGCGCAAATTTATAATGTGATGTACAGTACGGTATATAGATATAGAGATTAAAAATAAACAAGATACAAGGCCAAGCTGGTAAACTTTTCCAACATATTTAACAGATCAAAATGACGAATAGAAATAGACTTATATTGTAGATATAATATAATTCCTTTGACTCGGAATGATATATCAAATGAAGAAGTTTGTCAGTGATTTATCATATTGTTTGGAAGTACTGTACATCTTTTATTATCACGCTCACAAATGTGCCAGATTTTAATGCATGATATTAACATCTTTTCACCAAAGTGCCTTTAGTTATTACTGTTTTCTTTTTTAATTGCAATTAATTTTAATATTATTTCTAGAATCTACTTACAAGTAAAAAGTAAGGCATCTTATGATATAATTTACTTAAATTGATTCCAATAGAAGGCCATAAGCTCTATACTATAGGATCATTTGTTTGATAATATCTCTAAGATGAAAATGATAAATAAACAATACAAAACGTAACAAAAAGATAGATAAATATTAAGTATTAATGAGAGAATCCATCTCTTTCTATGCATTTTTTTCTGTTATCATCTTAGAGTTTGATAAAAAATGAGGAAATGCGTGATCCAATAGTACATGGTCTAAGAGGATACTGTTAGCAAATAGAACTAGTTTGGATAGAACGATGTGGGATAGACTCAAGTAAGCATACGTGCAACATCGGACAAATCCGCCGGTAAGGCTGATCAAAGCCGAGCAGATATCTTTATCACTCACGCGAGGAGGCACACAACGGCTCGCGTATGCTTTTCACGCGCGCTTTATCTGTCCCAAGGCAAAGCACGAAAGAAAGCACACTCGAGAAAGAGTTTCGCAGGTACGAATAACAATCGTTGTTGCATCTGTCTCTCTTCCCATCCCCTTCGCTCCGACGCCCTTGCAGCACCGGGATACGCAGGAAACGCTGACGGTCCTCGACAGGTTGGACCTCGACACCGAGAGGCCCACCGAAGAGGAACTGGCCAGGAAATTCGGTTTTGAGGAAGCATACTACGAGGGAAGTCTCACGTGGTGGCAGAAGCTCAAACCTCAGATGTGGTCACTTTTCGATGAACCTTATTCCTCCGTTGCAGCTAAGGTACGATTTAAGTATTTTGATATATTACCATTAGGCAAATAATGATAATATTAATTAAAATATTAATTTGAGCGAAATTAAATTTTTTTTTGAAACTATAAAAAATATATTTTTTGTTTATTTTTATTTTCTATAAATTTTAACAAATAAATTATATTTATTATATTTATATATATATCATAAAAAGTTTCCCATAATTCTGAACTTTAACTAACATATCTTACTTTACTAATATACTTACATATCTACATTTAGAGAAAAAAAGCGTTTTTATAGTTTTTACTAATAAAATTCTCGTAACCATTCAGCTTTTCAGTTTTAGCAATAATAAAATAATCTATTTAACTATATTATGTACATTAATTCTACTATAAAACTCGTATATCACCAATATAGTCTTTTTTTCCATGAGTGTACTGTTAATTTTTATTAATATATAAGTAATATATACTTGTTTCTTTTTTATATTATTAAAGTCTTATATTATTAAAGTTTCTGCTACATAACATTTACGAGTTGCTCGTATGTCTGGATTTTTCAGGTAATCAGTATAGTCTCCGTTTTCTTCATCTGCGTTTCGATACTTTCGTTTTGTTTAAAAACCCATCCGGACATGCGAGTGCCGGTGATCGTGAATCGTTCGGTAAAGACTGACAACGTGACGTCCTGGGTGGTAGACAAGACTCGCACCAATGCCCATGATGTCTTCTTTTACATCGAATGCGTCTGTAACGCCTGGTTTACTCTAGAGTTCTTGATACGTATTACCGCGAGCCCGAATCGTTGCGACTTCATCAAGAGCTCGGTGAACCTAATCGACATGGTCGCGACCTTGAGTTTCTACGTCGACCTGGCGCTGCAGCGGTTTGCGGCTCACCTGGAGAACGCCGATATCCTCGAGTTCTTGAGCATCATACGCATAATGAGGTTGTTCAAGCTGACTCGCCACTCCTCGGGCCTGAAGATCCTGATACAGACCTTTCGCGCCTCGGCAAAGGAGCTCACGTTGCTGGTGTTCTTCCTCGTCCTCGGTATTGTCATCTTCGCTAGCCTTGTATACTACGCGGAGCGCACCCAATACAATCCGAAGAACGACTTCAAGAGCATACCCCTTGGTTTGTGGTGGGCCCTGGTGACGATGACGACCGTCGGTTATGGGGACATGGTGCCGAAAACGTATATCGGGATGTTCGTCGGCGCGCTCTGCGCATTGGCCGGTGTCCTCACGATCGCCCTGCCGGTGCCCGTGATCGTTAGCAACTTTGCGATGTATTACAGTCACACGCAGGCGCGAGCCAAACTACCGAAGAAGAGACGCCGTGTATTACCAGTCGAACAACCACGTGTGAGGGCACCCGGCGCGCCGCCCGGCGTGGCCGGCGGACCCGGGACCGTCGGGCCCCCGGGCTGCGGTCAGCAAATGTCACATTTGCAGTCCAGCGGGGGCACGGTTACCTCTGGGCCCCACGGCCTCAGCATGGGTCAAACGCCCGGCGTCGGATGCACTGGTGGCGGCCAAGGACCGCAGAACCGGAGAATGAATGCCATTAAGACGAATCATCCGAAGGATCCGTTCGCCACGAAAACAGGTAACTCGAAGGCGTTCAATCATTGAGCTGTTTTGCACGATTCGTGAGCTCGACTTTTACTTAACTCATTAGTCCACGTGATACGTAATGGGAAGGTATATGGTACAAAATTTAAAAAAATATATATATGTTGTAATTGGAATATAATTTAAACTGCAGCTTGAGAATTCTCTTTTATATTTTTGAGTCACTTACGAGTCTGAACAATAATGTAACAAGCTAAACTGTGAAAAATTAATTCGATAAATAACTGAATTCGGAACACGCACGTTTACAGATTATCATATTCGTTTGTGCCGAGTTTTATATCTTACCCTTGTTCACGAAAGACCAAATCACGCGATGAATTTTACTTCAACTTTTAGATTATCTGAAAATTATTCCGAAGGCAAAATTAATCCGATTGTTTTAAAATTCGTATCAATAGTTATTCGTACAGATTGGAACGACGCGAGTTAAATGACAAAAATAGCTCATCATAGAAAATTAACGAAAACCATAATTTACGAAATTCTTAATTGCAAAAGAAATCTGATTGCATTCGTTTTTCACTTGTATCTAGATAATCTCTTGTATATACGACGAGTTTAAATTTCGCGTGTTTAATAAATACTTATGCCGTGACACACATAAAATGAACTTGCAGTAGAACGTGCGTAGATTCATACTTGCATATACATTTAGCATAATTAACAAATACACATACGAGCAAGTATAAAATAAAGCGCGAGATTCAGGTTATTAAATATCATTTATTTTTCTAATGTGCTCTACTTAATTTCCATTTTATAAATTTCTACTTTATAAAAATCGCAAGCAATAATTCAAAATAATAACAAAGTCTTGGAAACGCGCAATGATAATACTTACGATAAATGTCATTTACGTAAGAAAGAAATCTCAATATTTTTAAAAACGATATGCAAAAATGAAAAAGAATTATTGGCATAAATGATACGGGGTCGTTTTGAGTTCGCGAAGTGCGTCGGAAGATCGACAAGAACGGCAAACTCGACAGAACTAGCCGAGATCGCGATTTCGTGATTTTCAAGCGTCGATCGAACCGGCCAATCTCTAGTGTCTCTTTTTCTTTTTTTTTCTCGTATGGTGGGTTGCAGAGGAAGACCGGAGGAATTGTAACCTACGAACCAACGGGACCAAGAGAGCCGGAGGTTTGGATTAACCATTTGCGGTCGTAGCGTGCTCAGACATGGGTATCTCTCACAACTGGTCGGAATTATTTTGGAGCGAACGACGCGGCGTGTATACACCTATAATCAAAGATTGTCCTGTAAAATCCCGTAAATTCCATTAGGCATGCTTTGGCAAGGGAAAAAAGAAAAATGTAAAAACGATACCTCGCTGCATCGAAGCATCACGACTTCCGTTGCCCATTTTCAACGGCTAGGCAAAAAATAAACACTGCCGGCGAAGCGTGGCGGCTGAGACCCGACAACCGGAACGGTAAAAAAAATTTTTGCGGCGGCTGTCACCATATATACGACCGCAAAGGGTATATCTATTATTTATCTGGAATGTAGAATTAATAGAAACGGTAGAGAAACACTTTCGAAGCTCTGCGCCCCTAAGAGAAGGGATTTAACCCATCCGGGGACACTGTGCTCGGCGGTTGTACCCGCGTTTTAATCTTAATTCTACATTTCAAATATTATTATATATATACCGTCGGGATGAAGAGGTGAATACGAGAGGAATCTCTCGGCGGTTATACCACGAGCCATCTATTGATCTAAATAAGCAAATTGTGTAGAAAGTCAAGGAGAACTTGTGTAGCAAATAGAGAACTTTCCTCCTTCCTTCGCTTCATAATTTGTATTTTTTAATATTCATAAAAGAGATAATACATTTCATTAATAGCAAATAAATCAATCGATATATTGACACTATATATCGTTCATAATCGAAGAATTTTCTCAAGGAATTCTATGTAGATTATTTTTCCCTTTATGCTTGATATATAGTGAACGCTATTTAAATTTATAATTTCTATTAGAGAAATTTTGTATTTTTATAATTTATTATTCCATCTGCTTTTCTCTTGAATATTTACTACAAAAATGACGTAATCTCTTTTCGAGTGTTTCTTAGCTAAACAATATTCGCGTTAATTATAAGTAATTTCGACTAAATATTATTACGAATACCAGTTAGGCGGATTTTTATATAGAGACGCAAAAATGTCTTCAATATTTATTCCTATTTGCTTTTTCTCTTCTTCCTTTCTCAGATTTGATCGTTAATTTCATCTCGTTCCGAGTATAGCGATTAATACGCAAATGTAAAACGAAAATATCCCACAAGAGTGCAGCCGAATGTCTTATACCGTCCACCAGACCACCGTGTTTGTGACTCACGTAAACATCGCATCACCCATTGCTTCTAAATTTAAGATAGTTGGTGATCTAAGATACATTGTGGCAAAGGATATGCTGCGCACAGTAGAAACGGGGACGTAAACTTTATTACCTTCGAAGCTATATACGTTTCCATTGTCGATATCATCACTCGGTCTATACACATTACCTCGATTAAAAGAAAAAAATCGATTACTCATCGTGGAAGAACCTCGTTCTATCTTCCAGCGATCGTCTATATCGCGCGCCTACATTATTTCTATCGTTAGCGCCATTCTCGTGGAAACTCGTGTAAACGGTAAATCGAATAAACGACAGTGGAAATTGCATCCCTGCATTGCAGCTCGTTTTATATAGCAAAAGAGATACCGATAGATGCACCGTATCTTTTGGTACACCACCGTCGTAGATTTTCACACCCGTGAACGTACGACTGTTGTTCACTGCACGTTTAGCATCGGCTGTGTTTTGCCCGATCCTATGATCCGCGTTCTCATCGCATATTTAGCGATATAAGTGTGGCTGTCTAATTCCCATCAATGTCGATTAATTTTTGACATTGTACATGGACTTTATATCGGACAAAATTTGAAATTCACGCAGCCACGTTCAGTAATGCGGCGTTAAATGAATGGTGAAAATGTGGACACGATGCACGTCGTTATTGACTATATGAGAATCTCGATATATAAAAGCGAATCGGACGGCCACTTTTGGTGGTAAATGCGGTGAGGGTGCGGATCTATAATCACTTTTGCGCACCGTGAATATCGCCGGGACCAATCCATGAGCTCCTCCCTCCGCAGTATTCGAGATATCGTTTGTAATATCAGTGAAAAAGAACAGCTCCCTGTTCTTGTCCCTCGCGCGCGGAGTTATAGTACAGCTCCTCTAATAGCAGCGAAGGAAGAGCATGTCTTTCCGCGTTATACATATATATCTGTTGTGCCTGGGAACAGGGGGTAGAAGGAATTGCAGGAAGGGACGACAAAAGCATATCATATAGGCACACGTGCGATCGAGTGTACGGATCTCGCGAACAGTCGGCGGACGCTCTATAGACAATCATCATTTCTCCGACAGAATTAATCGTCTAGTTAACGCGTTTCCGTTTTTTTTTTCTTTTCTTTTTTTGGATGACTCAAAATGAGACAGCCGTTCTCTTTTGGACCAAAATTGCGATCGGTTGATAACATCTCACAAATTCAATAACGACCATATCTAAACATTCGTATTGTCGATTTTTATTTCATTTGATTCATTGCACATCTCGACATGATATAAAAATCATTATCAATACTAGCACACATATTGAAACTAAAAAAAATCTTTTAAGAGACTTTAGAGCTGTTGGATTTATATTCTTTGTGCGTTGCAAATTTAATTATTAAACCGTGTTGGTTTAGCATGTTGGTTTACTCGAATAATATTACATAATACAATAATACCACAATTATCTCTCCACATAGATTAATATAGCTGTATTATTGGTATATGTTACAGTTCTGATATTTTATTACGCACAATCGTAACGTTGCTTTTATATATTGAAATGCATATACATTTACTTCTGTAATTAAGTTTTGTATGGCGCTACCAAACGCATTTGTAGATCAGTACTCGATTTTACTTTTATAAATTATTATTTTCTATTTTGGTGACTAAACATTTAGGAGCTTTTCCTTGTCATCGTATTTTTGGCTTTACGAATCTTGTCCCTTAATATTTGTCTGCTTAAAATGCAATGATGACATTAGTTGATAAGATAATTTTTTTAATTCAGGAATGCACGCACAAATTTCTACGCGTGTCATTTTACAATAAATACATTACTGCCCGATATATACATTTGCATGTAATTTTTAGTTTCTTAAGCTACATACTAAATCCGTTCATAGTAACCAGAAAGATTGATGTATTGTTGAAGGAAGAAATTAATCAGACGACGCGAAATAAATGACCCGTCGCGTAAAGTAACTCAATTGCATTCACAGAGAAACTATGTATACAGTTGTACGTTATTATAAAAAGAAAATGTATTTAGACTTTTAGACGGATGATAAAAATTATTCATATTATTAGAAAAGTGAATACTATCGACGGATATGGAAATTGAATAAATAATAAATTCATCGTGCAAATTAGATTAATATGAAAAGTTGGCAGCAAATTAATATTTAAATAATTTCGCAGAGATCAAGTTGATACAGATATTTAATTAAACTATGGGAACTCTTAAACTCTTTATAGATATCCACGCAAACAGAAAATTTATTTTCCTTGCACAAACATGATTGATTGAGTAATAACATTTAGAAAACGTTACATGAAGCTTTACTCAATGTTTTCTCAATCTTTTTTCAGTATTATAATTACAAATATGTCAATTCGGAATTATGATAACAATTTGATATATCTTGAATATAAATATAATTTTTTTCAATTGTAAAAAGAGAGAGCTATACTTTTAAATTTAATGAGTTAGTAAAATTTCATGTTTTTCTAAATTACTTTGTGTACATACTTTGACTATTTTAATATTCTATAAATATATATTCTATAATTCTATATTTTTTATAAATAATCAATATTACGAAAGCAAATAAATGATAATTTCTTCTTCTTAACGGCTCAATTATTATCCGATACCTGATGTTTAAACCTTTTTAGCTAATTCAATTGTTTAATCGCTATAAAAGAAACGCACACGAACACATCACGAGTAAACCTTCATTTTTCGCATAAAATATAAAAATCGGAAAGAAGTTTCCGATATTCCAAACCGTTTCGGAGATATTTGCGCTTTACACTTTTTGCGAAGTCTACATAGTATTCTTACGTCACTCCCGTTAGTCACGCCTAATAAGGAATATGAATAATTTGTTGATGGAAGACCGTTTTCTATATTTACCCTCATTTATGTGCGGTGCTATCGGCTTGAGTTTGCTCGCTGCTCACAATTGCCCCGATTCTTTGTGCCTTAAAGACTGGATTTCCTATCCAGGGTTGCACCGACCATGCATTGGCTGTGTTACGTCTTTACCACTTTAATCATTAGGGACTATACACGGTCTATGCTGTGGTCATGCTGTCCACGCAGTTGCTATGTTGAACAACTCTGAAGGAGATGTACAGGAAAATTAATACTTGTGTAGTCCTCGACACAATATGTCAATAAACAAGTCCAAATACCATCGGATCACTGCATCTTATTATAGTATCGATTTTTGTCATACTGTTTCAAATCGGATTTTTTAAACGCGTGTTTTTTTAACTCCTTGTTCTAATTCGAAAGATATGTCTGAACATGAGGCTTGTTCTTTTTGGCTGAACTTTTGCACCAGTTCATCTTTCTTCCTTTTCTTTCCAGGAGGAAAAAAGAGGAGGAAAGATGGACTGGTGCAAAAGTTCAGCCAAAAAGAACAGGCCACATATGTACTTGTATTTATTTAAAAAATTAAATAAATCTTAAAACTTATAGAAGCTATAATTTTGAAAGTATTTAAATTTTAGTGCCTAGAGAGCGTAGAATATATTTTGTGGTATCATTTATTTCACCACTTTGTGCCTATCTAAAATGTTACGCATACACGTAAAAACGATAGAATGGTATACATTCAGAACGTGTGTCTCAAGAATCATGTTTGAAACGAGAAGCAATAGAACGATGTAAGTGCAATCCACGTGTAAATTGAGACAGGTGCAAATGGGTGTTTGCATATTATTTAAATGGAAGTAACACGTCTGCAATTTCCTGTGACATACAGAGCACCGCGGGTACAGAGCCCCCCGTTATGCAGCCCTGTAAATGGAAGCCAGCCATAATTCGACCCTGACTAGACTATATATCCCGTATCGGCGATACGAGTACGTCCACGCACACATACGTTATATTTCACGGAATGCTCGCATGCATGTTGCAATATTCAACGCTGTTGACTCGAAATAAGAGAGCGGGAAAACGCGCGAGGCTTGCGTTAGATCAATGCCGAAGATTCCAAATGTCCCTTCTTTTCTTCGCGGTCCGACCGGGAGAAACATTTGGATTCGAATACAATGTACGCGTACAATGTACGTGTACAATGTACAATGTTTTCGGGAACGCTATTCCGAGTCGTACTTGTAACGTTCGGCTGATACTTTCGGCTTTCTTCCGTGATAAATATCTCGAACCAATAAGTCTCAACGTGATGTTTGTAAATTGTCCGATGCAGCAATTTGTGCCGAATTTTGCGGGAATATATTCAAAAAGGAAAGCATTGGCGTTCGATCCAAAGTGCGATCTTCGTTTTACTGCATTCAAAGAAAAACATAATGGTAGCAACTATAATAGGCTTTCTACAATAAGCCACTACCTAAGCAAGTCTTAAGCCGTAAGAAATTGATCAATCACAATCTAATGTGAGAAGAATACTCGACTATAATTGTTCAATTTCTTACCTAAGCTTAAGACTCAAGCTTAGGTAATAGCTTATTGTAAAAAGCCCGCATAAAGATGAGAACTTGTACAAGTTTTCCATGCAGAATTAATGTACATAATTAAATAAACAGCTTTACAGTTACAATAACTACGTACAATAATTCTACGTATAAAAAACTTGTGTAACTATCACTTTTATAGTTGCTACCACTATATCTTTTTTTCTGAGTACGAATGAATAATAGAGCTGAAAGTTAAGGTGAAGTCGAGTGAAATATAATATAGAGTAATACGAATGACGTCTCTTCTTCGATAAATGATAATCGCGCGTAGAATCATCGATCAATTTACGAATTACAGTCGTTTCCCCTACCTTAAATGACCCAGTAAAACGACCAGAAATGGGCGAGGGGAAGGGGGAAGGAGAAAAAAAGAAAATGCATATCGGCGGCGGGTACAATGAGCACGCACGCACAACAGTTTTTAAGGGGAGAAAGCGAGTGTGTATGTGCGATCCGCACACATTGTTGCTCTAGTGCTGCATCATTGGTAGCGACGTCTTATGGTACCTACTCATTTCGTGACGGCCAGTAACGTTAGCATAATTAATTACAGTAATGTACGTTTGCCGCTTGCGGTTTTACCATCGCGTTCGCTCCTTGTTTTTATTTACGTTGACAGCGGGATTGCCGGGTGGCCAGACTTTTTCTTTTTTTTCCTCCTCGCGAAAATGTTTTCTGATTCTTCCTGACGCACGTACCCTCGATATCCTCGCTTTTAACATCGAGCGTCCCACTTTAAAGCCTGGCGCAAGCGGGTTCTACGATAACGCGATGTGCTAACGCCACGGCTAATCGAAATTGATTAATGATTATTGATTATCCATTTGCCGACTCGTTACAAACGCGTTAAATTTATTTTCGCTACGTGTTTACTCACGTGCTGTTACTTTCCATTTAATGTTACGTATTCTGTGCCAATTTGACCCAGAACGAAAGACCCGATTTCTTTCGCATTACTATTAAATCCAAGAATCGTTTGCGGTCTGAAAAGAAAAATCTGGCAATCCTGATCGACTTTGGGGCTCTCGTTATCATTCCGTAAGCGTTTTCCGTTGGTTTCGTTGCTGTTCAGGATCAAGGGTAAAAGTCCGGTTTTCTAATATCAGATTTTCTAATACGTAGAATTCGGTTAATATATCGATAGCGGGATGTGCAGGTTACGCGGATACAAATTGAGTTTTATACATCCGGACATCCGAATTTTCTCTGGATGCGATTCGGATATCCGTCGGATAATTGATAATTCCGGATAACCGTAGAAGTTTCATATATCCCAACGGACATTTCAGATATGTGACAACTTCTCAGATTCTTTGATAACTCTCGCTACAAGCATGTAAAGATAAACAAAAAAGAAAGTCTCGTATCGAAAAAGACTTTCATGTTATACGTAGATAAATTTTTTAAACTTCGGAAAAACATACCGGAGATTACCGAACATCCGAATCTCTCGTCAAATTCGCCTTGAACCTATCTTGAATCTTTTATCGGATATTCCACAAAATATCTCGAGGGTCGATATCGTACTGTCAACTATCGTTTGCTTGAGTCTCGCGTTACCTGCGCATACCGCCACGAATTGTACATTGCTCCGTTGTATCGCTCGACGATGTAAATACAACGACGAACGTCCGACAATTCTTCGGGAACACATAGCTCAATCGGATGCATGGGGTACTTAATCGTTTTGAAGATAGATCCGTCGAACGTTAATTGCTCGTTATGAAATTATTGTTGGACATTTTTGTTGAACATTTCAGCTGATACATCATTTATAGGCTTTCTACGATAAGCCATTGACTGCATTTAGTAGAAAAAGCAGCTTTGCAACACTGTTGTAAAATTCTTGAATATGATTGATTTATACACTCAGATCCAGTGAGGAACTAAAAGCAAAACTAATCATATTAAAGAATTTTACAACAGTTGCAAAGCTGTTTTTTTTTTGCTGAAAGCAGTCATTATCTAAGCTGTAAGTCTTAAGTCGTAAGAAATTGAATAGTCCGGATCTACAATAGATGCTTTAAGCCGTAAGTCGTAAGAAATTGACCAATTACAATCATATGCGAGGAGAATAATTGATTATGATTCGTCCATTTTTTGTGGCTTAAGGCTTAGAAACCTACTATAGATCCGGGCTTAATCATGGTCGATTATTGTTCTCACATGCGATTGTAATTGATCAATTTTTTACAGCTTAAGATTTAAAGTTTAGGTAATACATGGCTTATTGTAGAAAGCCTATTATATGTGATGCATTTTACATGTGACAGCCGTAAAATAAAAATACTCATTTGAATAAGAAAAAAATAGAAACAAACCCCTTTTTTTACGTCGTATATTGTTATTTATTTAAACTTAACTCCCGTGTAAGTTTATTCGAAATATATGGCCTCAGCACTTCGCGGATTAAATGCCCCACGGACATCCGAAAAATTGTAGAGTATTATAGGACAGAAACATGTGCCCCCGCACTAAGTGACCGTACACAGTGACACACGTAATCACGTACATATTTGCATACACGTTCGTCGCGACCACCGCCCTCTCTTATGCTACTTAACGGTCCTTTTGACTTCGTAGGTAGATACGTATGATTTCGAATTATACGACAGCGACGTCGCCGACGACGACATCGAAGTAACCGCTGCAGTTCACCACTGTCGTCGAATTGTCTCCATTATATTATCGCTAATTTTCTTATCGTTATCATTATGAATTACGAATTATAATTATTATACACGACGTATATATATAGATATATGCGAAATAGCTTGTATAAAAGAAAGACTAATGCGATCTTGACTTCTTCGGAGGCAAGATGACGAGCGCACGTTTCTTCTAGAAGAGCAATTCGAGGTGATGTTGTCATCGTCGACATTATTGTATTAACGACATTATAATTTATTCTTGTAACGTCATTACCGTTATCGCTAATGATTGCCGTGATTGTCGTCGGCGCCTTCCGCAGCGGAAGCTACCATCGTACATACATTATATATAAATAATCGTTCTACCGCTAATCTCGCGTTTGGGAAATCTCGACGTGAGAAATCGGTGCCCCGTGATTAATACACTGCGTATTGTAGCCGATGATCGTGACGGGTAATCGAATAAGAGAAAAAAAAGAAGCGGGACACAAAGGCGAATTATATGTATATATATATGTATATATTTATATATATATATGTATATATACATATATACATATGTCACTATATCGAGAGTTGTGCGCTGCGTTTACGATTTAAGCTAGTTCATTTGTAAATAAAAACTATTTGACTCTTTGACTTTTTTGTGGTATTAATTATACAGCACAATACTTCAATCCCAATTCTATAATTCCCGTCCCGTAATCTCACGTCCATTAGTCTAAGCCGAACGAGCAAAACCCCCGCAAGCGAAATCTTCTTTATTCCGTTCGAAAGTATTTCCTATATTTGTGCTGCGAAAGTGACAACGACGTCGCTTGACAATGCTACAGAAACAGTGTTGCAGACAGTACAGACGCAGTCGATGACGCTTCCTTCTTCTGTTCGACAGTTGTCTCCGCATTTATATGTCGTCTAGCGTTCTGCTTTGCGCTTTATGCGCCTTGCGAAGAGTGGGATAATTATAACGCTCAAGCTACACAAGCTAACTGTTGGTACGTGAGACACATGCCGGCATTGTCTTCCAATGTGCCGTCCATGTTAATACCCGGACCAAACGCTACCCTTATACGAAAGGGAGTAGTCCAAGTCTCGACACGGCAGTTACCCTCTGCATCGAGTTCGTTTCGGCCGCACAGTGAACTGCCGCAACGCTCCAAATTGCAGATACCTGCCATGTTGTTTCCCGGCTAAAACAGACATTTGCAGCTGAAGCATTAAACGAGATATCGCTTCCGTCTTCTGATGCAAAAAGTGTGCCAGAGTTACTGTAATTAACCCTTCGTACACACGATGATATTCCTGTCCTTTACTACATACGACGAGTTGTTTTCATGTCCCGGCTTAATTTTCGTCACTTTTACAAATATACAGAAATTACTAAGTAATTTCTTTGTACACACTTTAAAGGCCTTTAAAAAATATTTATAAAGTTGTGTATTAAAAAAAAAGAAAAAATAAAGACCATTATTTAGTGAAATGTTCCCGTATTTCAAAGAAAAGAAATACACAGAATCGCGTGTATTAAGGATTAATCATTTTATACTCAAATTCTAGTTTCCAAATTATCACATAAATCCAAATTAAAAATTTTTGGAGCAATAAATTTGAAATAGTACAAGTTGACAATCACATTTTTAAATACAATTCATATACATTACTAGGCATTACTAGACTTCTCTACATAATAATTACTCAGACAGCACATGTTCAAAATCGGAACATAAAATGTCTCATGTCCCAATTTTGGACATACGTGCTATTTGAGTATAATTAAGAAAATACTAATTAAACATGACGTACTGTAATAAATTCCTCGAAATCGCAAGGAATAAGTATCCTGTCTCTGCACCGTCTTCCAAAGAAAGGTACCGAATTCATATTGGAAATAAAAGTCATTTCCTGTTCAGATAATCCTGCTCCCGATCCCTCGACAATGTCCATACCGGAATCGTTTACAGGAGTTACGTTTAGATTGACAGCTGCAGAGGCATTTCCGCTGTTCGCAGTGATCATTGCGGGAACCGTGTTATTGGTCGTATTGGACATATCTTGAGACCTATTAGGACCTATCCGAAAAGAGTCTCGCGTGCAAGGCTGATAAGAGATACCGCACATGTCTCTCTCCTGACGTACGCATAATAGGTAATCGCGTTCGGCGAGATATCTGCCGTTCGGGAGATAATTAAATGTCCTCAGTGTGCCGTTGGGCGAGCGAAAATATTGGAGACATCCGACCGGTGCACGTTGCTCGAAACCCAGCTGCACCACCCGCATCTCCCACATTCGTGACTGCAGTCCGCTTGGCAGCCGGAAGTTTAAAGTGATTGGTTCGTTGCCTTCGCCCACGTCCACGTATACTATGTCGGGATACAGAGCAGTCTGTGCTATATTTTAAATTGCTCGAAAAACGTACACGTGCGCGAGATGTCCCGCGTGTCCAGAAAAATCGAATTTTAATTAGCTAGATTCGCGATACTACAAAAGCTACAATTATAAAGATTGTGTAAGAAATTGTACAAGCAGTACTCACCGTGTTGCCCGCTGTTCCATCCGCATAGTTCGAAAGATGTCCTGTTATTGTTGATTACCATGACATCTCCGTCGCACACGCCAGTCAAAGCGTTTGGCTGACCCTAAAACAGTTTCTAATTCTACATATATTACGTACATAGAAAAAATTTATTTGTCTAAAGTATCTAAAAATTTAACTAAATACAGGTCTGAAAATAATTTTGTTGAACTATCAAAACAATTATCTAGGACTCTCATAATAAACAATGTTGCAAAAAGTTTTGACATTCTAACAACCTCTTGGACGTACATATCATTATTTTGATGGTTTAATAAAATTATTTTCAGATCTGTATCTAGCTAAATTTTTAAATGCTCTAGCAAAACCATTCTTTAATTTGATTTCATTTAATTTTCTTTCCGTGTACCTTTTCTGCTTTTGCGATTACTTTCTCATATATACACATCGCTAACTCAAATGAATTACGTGTTTTGTTCATGTTAAATGCGACATATTTCAAATATGCTGATGTCATTTATCGCCATTTTATGTAAAAATGACGTCTACTGTCGTCAAAATGACGATAAATAACACCAGTTTGCCACCTGGAATTATGTAATATAAGAACTAATATGCAATTTTTCTTCATGATTACTTTATTCTTATGTATTTTGCCTTTTCCTCTTTTCTTTCTCTTCTTTCTTTCTCCTCATTTACAAATTTATTTATAATAAAATTAAACACTAGTATACATTTACCCAGGTAGCATAATGTTCAAAATCGAGATATGAGATGTCTTAAAGATGTCTTATGTTCTAATTTTAAACATTGTCTGGGTGAAAAACGACACTGACGAAGATTTTCACAAATGCTGCTAATATTGAACAGTATCCAAAAATTAATGTTGGCGTAGTTATGTGAAGAAAAAAATTCTGCATTCTTCGCACGTATCGACATTATCTTGACAACTCGTGGAATATTAGATATACTAAACAGCACTCGAGGGAATCGACAGTTGCAACTAGCCTATTCCTAGTAGATAACACTATAATAATAAGACATTCCTGAGACTTACAATGTTGAAATGGACGAAGTCGATCCTCAACTGGCTGACCTCCGTATCGATTTTCCGTACAAGCACTGAGCAGTTCATAGGCCGGTCGATGAGGTTGGGAAAACCAGGACTGGTCACGTAGGTCAGATTATTCTGTACCTCATTGTCGCAGCTTGCCGTGACTGTAAACCATATTAATTACTGACACAGTTAATAAAATACTTGTAGCGACCGTAGGACGTTTGCGTTTCGTTACACTTCGGAATATTTAATTAGAGTAAGAATCCACGATATGAAGGCCTCGCGCCCAATTCCGTGAAATTTTACGTCCACATTTAAGCATTCAAACAAGACTGAACGCGAGGCAATAGCGTTCATCGTTAAACTCGTTAAACTAATATTAGCGGCGGTTAATAAAAGATTATATTGATGAACGAATAATGAATTGCCTCGCATTTAAAGCTCAGACTACTAATGGTCGAACGTTTAAAGCTCAAGCTAATAATGCGCTTTTAGCCTTCTAAAGTTAAGTGGGAAATCAGACACCTGAGTTCTATAGTGGCTTTTCTAAGGAATACTCAGTACAAACTTTTATACTTCATTTCCTTCCCTTACTATTACACTTTAAATAACTCTTTTCCGCAACGTCTTTTCAAAATCCATTAATTTTTTATATAGATTGATCTACGTGAGAGAAAACACGGATATAGAAATGCGAGAAATTATGACACAGTCGCTATTAATTGACCAAGAATAACCTGTTAGGTTTTCGCCGAAATTTCCTGTTTAAAATTCACATCTATGCGGACGGATTAAATGTGAATGCCAGACATTCTAACACTTTCGTGAAGTATCCACTGTGGGCGTCGCCCCTGCGATATTCTCATGAACAGCCTCCGGCTTCGATAACGAGTTCTCATTCAGGCATTCAGTGACCGTTTTAGACTCTCGGGACGCTATTCAACGGCCCGCCGGCTAGAAGAAACGCATACTGCCTTCGTATGTAGATCTTACTTCCTCTGGTGGTTCGAGGAAACAATCCAAGACGGGTAATATAAAAAATGTATGAATGGCTGATGTCGCGTTGCAGGCAAGGTGCATTCAACGATTCAATGAAAAGGGTATAAAAAAGCAAAAAATAGGCGAGATAGGTAACCTTTTGATTTGAAGCTCGCGAACCATATACGTACCGTATCTATATATAATACCTATGTGTTTGCATGTGCACAAATATACACATACGTATGCACATATGTAATATAGAGTCTTATTTGGATAAATACGATATCTCAGAATTTCCGATCTATATCTTAATTCTAACAATTGACAAATTTGCAACTAATTTTCTTTCATTTTGGTGTTATAACTTTTAAGGAGGTTTTGACTGAACACAATCAGCTAAAAAAGCCAATATAAATAAAAAAAGTTTTATCATCAATATACTTTGAAATCAATTTCAAAAAACAAAAACAATAAATTTGGCTTATCATTGCTTTAAGCATCGAAATAATCATATTCGCTGCAAATTTCAGTAAATAACTTTTTAAATACAAGTAGGTCCAAATAAAATTTTGCACGAATATTTATTATAGTTTTATTCGTATATATAAAAATTTGATTTAATTTGCAATATAATGCTACATTCTATGACCTAATCGAATTTGTAAATAAATAGGTACTACAAAACACGATTTTACAGAAGAGAATCAAGGTAAACAAAAAAATTAAATAACCGATAAGAGAATTATGCTTAAATTTTACACAAATAAACGTAATAATACAATTTATGAAATTTTTATATTTTTAGTCATGCTTTAACATATATAGTACATAAATCCTTTAACATGCACATACATTTTTAACACATTAATTTTTAATAAAATATTGCAACGTTTAATTTATATTAAAAATTAAGTCCAGTT